TGGACTCATCGAAAAAGTTGTTAGGAAAATATTATATAAGAAATTTAAAAATTATTATATTAAAAGTTAATAAATTTTTGTTTAAATTTTATTAAATTGTTAATATTTTTATATTTGATAAAAAAATGATATTGAAAAAGCTGAAAAAAGTTTTTGAGTTTCATTATAAAAGTTGAAGGGAAATTTTTTTTTCTTAAAAAAAAAATGTAGGGAGAAAATATTGTTAATTGAGAATTACATCAGCGAAATTAAATGTTAAATTGTCAATTTTATCCTTCATCCGTTATAGTATGTGGCTAGAATTGATTGAGCCTGCCCTGCTATTTCCAGGAATGGATTAGCCAAACACCCCATTATTGAAGTGTAAAAGCATTAAAATATCCTTAAATTTCAGTGGGCGAGAGAAAAAAACTTTCCCCAACCAAAAGCGCTATTTATAAAATAATTTCGTAAATTTTTTTAAATAATATAAGTACCCTCTCTATTCAACCTTACTAAGCATAATTTTTTATTTATAGTATTTAAATTTAATTATTTATTTTTATTTTAAAAAATAATTATAATATATATTAAATATAAAATTTTATTTAAGTGATACTTAATTAATAATAAATATAAAATTTTATTAATAAATTATTATATCTTTATATTATTAGTTAAAAAATTAAATTTATTAAAAATGAATAGAATGAGTAATTAAATTCAAAAGTTTCGCTATACAAATCTAGTATTTTTAAAATTAAAGCCTTGTTATAATTTTTTAACAAGAAGTGTCCTAGTTATCACTTTTTATTTTAATATAAACATTGTTTCCCCTATCAAGTATTAACCCCTTTTAAAAGTTTTTAAAACGTGAGAACGTATTTTGGGTAGTAAAATCCTACAGGTAAATATCAGATTTGAAACCTTAATAATTCTGTTTTTTGACCATTTAGAAGTTCGGTGTTTAGTTTTTGGTTTTTTAATTACATATTATTAAAGAGTACACAATTATTAATAAATTTAAACTAAAAATCATTATTAATAAATTTCTTTAAGATAATTTTTAAAAATTATAAAACTTTTAAGAAACTAATTTTGTTTTTATCTCTCTAATGATTGTATTAATATATTCATAGAAAATAATTATATTAATATGTTGAAAAACAAACATAAACTAAACAAGTTTTTCTTTTTTCTTTTTTTATTAAAAGTTACCAAATTTATAAAAAAAAATTAAAAATTACAATTATATAATATAACCTAAATTTCTATATAATTGGGTTTAAAAAAGTGTAACAACAAAAGTTATACCACAAATTGCCAAAAACTAAAATTAATTTTCAAATACCATCGACTTTGAGTTGACTTCAATTTATAGTGAAGATATACTAAAAATGGTGTGCCCAATCGACAGCCAAAGGTAAAATGCAATTTATCAAAATTTCCAGGTGCTGCTACCTGCTCGTTGGTTGGAATTAAGTAATACTACTAATAAAGGCAAAATACTATATTAAGTTCTCAAATTTATCTCATATTTTTAATTAAATTCTTAAATTTTTATTAAA